CCAACTACATCCTTTTGAATGTGTATGGCTCTCCAAGTCTACCAATAATCCAACCTCACCCATCAGTCTCCTGAAAGAGCCCACCATGCCACTTCCAAGTCACCCATTCCATGGTTTTGGATCATAATTTTTCCCATTCTAGCTACTTTGATGAATCACCCAAACTATAAAACTTCTAGTCTGTCCCTGTTTGCTTTATCATTCATGACAGAATCAGTTCACGGTTATGGCATTAAAGGGCATGTAACTGTTGCCTGTAAGATGGACAGTCGTATCCTGGACAACTCATTGCAATCAAGTCTATTCTGACTCACAGCAACTTTACAGGTCTGGGTGGAACTGTCCTTCTGCGTTTCCTAGACTAACTCAGGGAGTGGAAAGCATGATGGCTCCCTCACAGAGTGGTTTTGAACTACTAACCTTGTAGTTAGCAGCACAACACATAAGCCACTATACCACCAAGGCTCTTTGTGTCCTGGAGGGTACCTATTATATTAAAAACGTATTTTAAGTTGAGTCATCTTGAACACAGCCTTTGTCCAACTAATATCTGCACATATTACATCACTTCCAATCAAACGATTAACTGGGGAATTGGCCATCTCAGAGTATGGAAAAGCTTGGTGGGAAAAATTTATACTTTTCAAGTTTGCATGCTCCAAAAGTCATAATTGCTTTTTAATTAAGCCAAATCCTGATGGTAACAAGGACATCTGCAGAGTTCCACATTGTCCCAGACAAGCTGCCACTGAGCTTCAGCTTTTATCAGTGTCAAATTCTACCTCTAGGTGAAAAAAAATGGAGTTGAAGTCCAGTATAGCTCAATCTCAATTTTTGAATGTTTAGTTTTCATGTTAGAGGAAGTTGAATTAAGATACCATACAGTATATGTGATCTGATCACAAGTATACAGAAGAAGTATAGGGAAAAATAGGGAGAAATATGTTAAATGCAATTTTAAAAAATCATCTTATTAGGGGCTCATATGACTCTTATCACAATCCATATATACATCAATTATGTAAAGCACATTTGTACATTCATTGCCCTCATCATTCTCAAAACATTCTCTCCACTCAAGCCCCCGGCATTAGGTCCTAATTTTTCCCTTCCCTCCCAGCTCCCCCGTTCCTCATGAGCCCTTGATAATTTATAAATTATTATTTTGCCCTGTCTGATGTCTCCCTTCACCCACTTTTCTGTTGTCCGTCCCCCAGGGAGGAGGTCACATGTAGATCCTCATAATCGGTTCCCTCTTTCCAACCCACCCTCCCTCTACCCTCCCAGTATAGCCATTCACACCACTGGTCCTGAAGGGATCATCCGCTCTGGATTCCCTGTGTTTCCACTTCCTATCTGTACCAGTGTACATCCTCTGGTCTAACCAGACTTGCAAGGTCGGATTCAAGTCATGGTAGTGGGAGCGGGGAGTAACATTTAGGAACTAGAGGAAGGTTGTATTTCTCATCGTTGTTACATTGCACCCTGACTGGTTCGTCTCCTCCCCTAGACCCCTCTGCAAGGGGATCTCCAGTGGCCTACTAATGGGCTTTGGATCTCCACTCCACACTCCCTCCATCATTCACTATGGTAAGATTTTTTGTTCTGATGATGCCTTATACCTGATCCCTTCGACATAATTGCAATTTTTTAAATGACCACACTTGGGTGACATCTGTTCATATTTTCTAAACAGTATAAAAGAAGCATGTCTTACTTTCACAAGTTGAAAAATAAAATGAAGTTCATTTTAATGTGGAAAAACAAACAAACACCTTCGATTTATTTTAATACAAGCCATTAAATTAAAATCTGGCTTTTGAGAGCTTACCTGATCGGCATCCACAAATAGGAATTTGTCAACAACAAGAGGGAAGAGGACATCTAAAAAGAGGATCTTGTAACCCCAGATGATACGCTGCTTTTCAGTCTGCTGATGAAGCCACCGGGGCCACTTATACTGAACAAGTTCATAATGGAAATTGTATTCATTTGCCATGTAAGGTATAAACTCCTAAGTATAGACACAGGGAAAAATAAAAATTTTAAAAAACATTAGGGCACAAGTAAAATACATTCAACAAAATAAGTAGTTCATAACTCACTTATGAGTACAGAAAAGATTACCTATAAACATTTGAAAGACATTATACTCAGCAAACTAGTCAGTTTCATAAAGACAAATACTTATGAGACTGCTATTAAAAAAATAAATTATGGAAAATGATTTTCACACCAAAAGAAGAAGACTTCTTGGGCTATAGGAGTTTGAGGGGCGAAGGGAAGGAAAAAGGAGGCAGGGCAAAAACAAACAGAGACATACACACATAGTTACAATGGATTTTTTTAAAAGAGACAAATATTTGACATTTGATACGAAATGTACCTAACTGTTTTGGCTTATATTCTATAGCAAAAATTAAAACAGAGAGTAGGCTAAAATGGTGTTCTAGTTAGACACACCATGCCATCCCTCTGTAACAGAAACCTGAGACACCAACTGAAACAGACACAGGTTTATAATCCTGGAACCCTAAATAACCAAGGACAAAGAATTTGACCAGAAAACTATTCAAAGAAGAAACTGAATGAAAGCACAATCAGACACAGAGTTAAAGTGTCCTGCCAACTAAACCAACAGAGCACTCCCATTTTGACCCCATTCAAGCAGCACAACAGCTTCATACAATCCTCAGTAAGACAGACACACAAAGCAAAGAAATCAGGAGAGGGCCAAGGTGAATAGTTCATGAACGAGATTAGAAGCAGGAAAGCAGAAGAGAGCTCCAGAAACTCGGGCAACCAACACAACAGGAAATAAGTCAGTCAATAAGAATAGAACCACTCACCCCCATTTAGGTTAGGGACACATTTGGAGGAAGGGTCTGTGGTGATTGAAGATGCTAGACTCTGGGCACCCACGCCACACCCTTGAATTGACATTGAGCATATATCAGAAAGCTGGGAGCACATAGAGGCCCATGCAACCACAAGAGTGGACCCTTCCTGATTGCCCCTCACTCTTCTGGTGGGCAGAGGTAGGGTCCCGAAACTACTACCCAGGTGGCAGAGGATGCCACTCCTGTAATCTAGCTGCCCACACTCTACCAGCGGTCTAGGCTCACAGTTCCATGGAATGCCTGGCACATGCTTACCACCTCCGTGGATAAAAGATTTAACAATGTAAAACTGCTAATAGTGACCTAAATAATGTAAATTCAATCCAGATTCTATCATGATTTTTTTCCTCCCAACCCAGATCATCAGAAAAATCAACCATCAACTTTACATTGGAAATGAAAGAGATAAAGAAAAACAAAGAACTACCATAGAAGAACTAAGTATGAAGCCTCATACCTCCTAATCTCAAAAGTCTACTAACCTCCCAAAGTATTCATAACAGCCTAGTTCCATTATAAAGGCAAAAAAAAAAAAAAGGCAAATGTATAGCTCAGAGGAACAGAATTGAGAACCCAGAAGCAAATTCAGCGACTGATGAATAGCTAAACTTTGATGTAAAAGGCTAAAACTCATTAAATGGGGAAAAGAGTCTCTTAACAGATAAAAAACGAAACAAGATCCATTCCTCCACCATGTACTTATTCAACATGGATCACAATCCTAAATGTAGAAAGTTCAAGAAAGAAAAAACATGGTCCAATTTAATGGCTCAAACTTATGGCATAAATAGTCTATCAAACATAACTAAAAATGCACAAGAAGCAAAAACTAGACAATTGAGACTTCCTACAAATTATACATAAGTACATCAAAAGCCTTCTCCAATATGGTAAAAAAGGACCCATACACTGGGGAAATTTTTGTGGCATTACCATATATGATAAAGGATTAATCTCTAAAATCCATAGAAGACTTCAATACTTCAACAACAAAAAGATAAGCACTCTTAATAATAAATGGGTAAAGGTCATGAATAGGATGCTTCACCAAATTGAATATTCAGGTGGCCAATACACATGATGAAA